ATGAAAATACTATTTATGCAGCGCTGACATGAGCAGTTTGTCTCTCTTCTTACCAAATAATATATCGTTCACTGTTGTATGTTGCTAAAAGCCAATAGCTATATTTGGCTAAATAACCTGCAAGGAGGGTGATTTCCTAAGATAAAGCATAATTAGCATAAACATATTTCCTTTGTTGAATATGTCTCACCAACTAGCAAGTTGGGATGCTCCTATTAGTTGGAATGTCCAGTTTTCAGTGTCTTTGGAATGTAGGAATTTAAAAGAAAGCACAATTCCTATGAAAATGTGGAAAATTGCCACGTGATAATGGAGCCTTACGGTTTCAAATGCCATTAATATAATGAAAACTTAAGTGTTGATAACATGGCCAATGATGACTAACACTAGCTATGCTTTGTTACATTCATTACTTAACCAAATACACAACTGTGTCTACTTGTTCGTTTGGCAACACAGCTGATTCTGTTATCAGTCATTGAGATGACACTCTTCAGTAATGCTACAGTAATGCGCTACAGTAATGCAGGTACTGTTCACGCGAGGGTGAGAGGGCAGGGACGGCTAGCTCCCAAGAGAAGCCAATAACTTAATTGTTGCTTTCTGCTTAATTCCAATCATTCCTGATTACAAGTATTTATCCTTCCCTATAGATGTTATAATTAAGGAACTATATCTATCTCTAAGAAAATACCAAATAAGCGATAAATTGGGCCTCTAAGCCCCTTAACAGACCGCCCCCTAGCTACTATTGGGCCTGCGCCTGGCATAGGGGATGCCGGTCATAACATCTCTCCCCACCTGCGCAAACAACTCGTCCTCGAGTTGGAAGTTGGGGAAGTGCTCGCGGAACTCGTCGAGAGGCTCCCAGGTAGCATCCTCGTCCGGAAGGCCGCGCCACTTGATCAGCACACGCCAGACACCGCGGCGTTGCTGCACTTGCAGCGCCCGCTCTGGTCCCGGCAGAACGCGACCATCGAGGATCGGCGGATGGGTGGCCGGAACCGCCGGCGGATCTCCGCGGTGCCGCTTCAGCACCCGCGTGTACTTGGAGAAGCGGTCAACCACCATGAGTACGACGGACTTGCCGCCCAGCGCACGATCGCCGAGGATGTAGAAGTCAGAGCGTAGGCGGTGGAGGGTCTTCTGAACGCCCTCGTGCCCGGCCGAGTGCGCCAAAAGGAGCGCCTGATGACGGAGGTCGCCGTGGTCGGGGAAGAAGAGGCGACTACCATGCAGGAGCAGCCCGTCGTCAAGGCGCCACGGCGCCTGCAGGTCGCTCGCCTCAAGGCGCCGAAGGAGTAGCTGCGCGTCCGCCGCTGTCGCCATGGCGCGGCGGATGTCGTCGATGAAAGCGAAGGAGGGGCTTGAGCGGGCGCACATGGCAGCGCCCACGCTGGTGTCCTCCTCGGCCCCGTGCTCAGCGTCGCGGCGGGATAGGGCGTCGGCCACTGTGTTGAGGTGCCCCGGGCGGTATTCGACGGTGAAGTCGAAGCCGAACAGCTTGCTGATCCACCGATGCTGGTGGTAGCCCGAACGTAGGTCGAGCTTGGTGAAGAAGCGAGCCCCATGGAACTCATCGAGAAGCTCATCCATGACCGGTATGGGGAACTTGTCCTTGGACGTATTGGCGTTGAGGGCGCGGTAGTCGATGCAGAAGCGCCAAGACTTGTCCGCTTTGTGAACAAGGAGCACGGGCGCCGAGAACGGCGAAGTGCTAGGCCGGATGATGCCTTTGGTGAGCATGTCCTCACACTGTCGTTCCAGCTCGTCCTTCTGCAGCTAGGGGTAGCGGTACGGGCGCACGACGACGGGAGTGGTGTCTGGCAAGAGGTGGATGCGGTGGTTGTATGGATGGGCTGGTGGAAGGCCCTGCGGCTCCTCGAAGATGGAGCCATGCTGCTGCAGTAGGCGGTCCAGCAAGGGCTGCTGAGAGTCGACGGAGGTCACCGCCACATGCTGCTGGGGCGTGGCCGAGTCAGAGCCACCCACGCCCTTCCAGAGGACGTGGCGACCCTCACGCCAGAAGGCCAACGTCATGGCCTTGAAGTCCCAGAGAATGGGGCCTAAGGTCTGCAGGAAGTCAACGTCGAGGATGAAGTCGAAGCAGCCCAAGTCAAGGCCGACGCATGTGATGGAGAAGTCCTCGGCCCCGATGCTGATGGGGATGTGACGGGCGATGCCCTCGCAACGCAGGCGATCGCTGTTGGCAACGGTGATGCGGAGCTACGCCCCCCAGTGGGCGGAAGCCCTAGGCGGCGCATGGTTGCGCCCTGGAGGAAGTTGTGGGTGGAGCCAGTATCGAGAAGGGCCAAGAGGCGCTCCCCCTTGACCATCACCGGCAGCAGCATCGTGTTCTCCATCCGGATACCTGCAAGTGCATGGAGAGACACGACGAGTGCGTTAGCGGCCACCTGCCCCTGGGTGGCCGGCTCCTCTGGTGGTATGGCCGCGTCCCCATCCTCGGTGGGCGCGGCGTCCTCCTCAATGTAGTCCCCGGACTCTAGGTAGAAGAGCCGCTGACACACATGTCCAGGGACGTAGGGCTCATCACAGTTGTAGCATAGTCCTTGGCGACGACGTTCCAGCTGCTCCGCAGGTGTAAGGCGGCGAAACGGGCGTGCCACGGGGGCCGCATTGGCAGCAGCGGGGGCCTGTCCCGCCTGGGCCGCCCCGGGAGGCTGATCCTGACGCAGAGCCGGACGAGTGGCTCGAGGAGGCGACGCCGACTGCATGGCAGCCGCACGACGCTCGAATGCACGGGCGTAGTACATGGCCGTCTGGAGGTCCGAGGGGTCGCGCATCTCCACGTCCACCCGGATATGATCCAGAAGGCCACCAACGAAGAGCTCAGCCTACTGACGTGTGGAGACGTCCCGGGCGTGACATGCCACCGCCTAGAAGCAATCGGTGAACTCCTGCACAGTGGAAACAAACGGCAGCCGACCCAGCTCAGCCAGCCGACTCCCGCGGATCGGAGGGCCGAAGCACAGACGACACAGCTCCTTGAAGCGCTCCCACGGTGGCATGCCCTCGTCCTGCTCGAGGGCGTAGTACCAAGTCTGGGCCGCCCCCCGGAGATGATAGGAGGCGAGCCAGGTACGGTCGGAGGCGAGCGTGCGCTAACCCCGGAAGAATTGCTCACACTGGTTGAGCCGATTCAGGGGATCAATGGAGCCGTCGTATGTGGCGAACTCCAACTTGTAAAACTTGGGCGGCGGCGGGTCCTTTGCGGTGGCCGAGGGTGCCGCGCCTGTGCTGTCCAGCGAGGGCGACACGGCGGAGAGCGTCGGCATCAGGCTGCCGCCGTGGAACAGGGGGCCGTCCACCCCGCCGTAGAGGACGCTCGGAGCCGGGGCGCCACCTGGCGCCATGACATCCCGGTGGTCGGGAGCGGCGGTAGGTGCGGCTAGGTACTGGGCGCCGTGTAGATGGGTTTCGACGAACCGGCAATCCAAGCCGGAAGTGGTGACAGCAACGACGGAAACCTGATCTGCTGGATGGGGACGCCCTGGGACGGCGGCGGCGCGGCTCGGAACGAGGTCGTCGCAGTCCTGTCGTAGGGCATCCCATACTAGTACGAGATGACCGGCGCCGTGGTCGCGGCCAAGGGCGGTGGCGGGGGGGTAGCTGCTGTTGGTGTGGCGGTGGAGGAGATGGCAGCTGGGGCTACGGCTGGGGCGCATAGGGCCCGATGAGGAAGGCCCTGATGCCCGCCACGGCCTGCCCTAATTCTAGGATTGCGGCCGTCATCTGCTCCGGGTGAGGACGAGGGCGGACGGCGTCGGGGCAGAGGGCGCGATTGCCCCTGAGGACGCCAGCGCTCCCAATGCCGGCGCGCCTGATGTGTGGGGCAGCAGCGCCGACGAAGACGCTGGTGACGGCGGGTGGGAAGAACTCGGTAGAGGGCTGGACATGATCAAACCAGAGATCTCTGATACCAAATTGATAGGACTTGATGCCTTATCGGCGTTGCTCCGCAGGTTATAGGGGTGGAAGAGGGGTGGACGTGGTCTGTACTCTCGATGTCGGTGAGGGGCCGTGGCGGCGAGAGCGGTGGCTGCTGCTGCAGGCCTAGAGTTCACGTAGCGCTACAGTAACGTGGGTACTGTTCACGCGAGGGAGAGAGGGCAGGGACGGTTGGCTCCCAAGGGAAGCCAGCAACTTAATTGTTGCTTTCTGCTTAATTCCAATCATCCCTGATTATAAGTATTTATCCTTCCCTATAGATGCTATAATTAAAGAACTATATCTATCTCTAAGAAAATACCAAATAAGCAATAAATTGGGCCTCTAAGCCCCTTAACACTACGTGAAAAACGATTTTTAGCAACGGGACAAAATTTTTGTAGGGGCGGCTGGTGATGGAGCCGCCCCTACAGTGGCGTGTTTGAGAGCCACGAGACCAGCCGCCCCTACAAATGGAACAGCAGGGGCGGCTGGTGATATGAGCCGCCTCTACAAATGGGTCGGATTTATAGAGGCGGCTTAATCACCGACCGCCCCTGGTATTTCTATTTTTAGGGCGGCTCAATCACTTTGAACCCCCTCTCTATCGTGCGAATCGCGGCCGTTTATCCGAGGTACCCCGCCCCACCCCCAGACGTCTGCGGGCCCCGTGCGCTCTCACACTCTCTCGCCGCCCCCGCGCTACGCCAGGTGCCGAGGGGCTTCGCCAGGCCCTTGGCCGCTCGCCAGCGATGAGCGAGGTCTCACGACGACCGGATCCGCATGCTCGTCGGCCGGATCCGGTGGTGGCTGGTCCGGGCTCGCCTCCCCTCCGCGCGGTGACGACTGGACTACGGTCCTGCAAGCGCGGTGGCGGCTCGATCCGCGCGGTGGCGACCGGATCTAAGGTCCTAGCGGCTAGATCCATGGGATTGGCGGCCTGAGCTGTGCGGAGGGCGTCCGGGCATGGCCTCCTCGGCTCCTTACATTTCCGATAGATCTGGGCGCCCTCAAGGTGAGCCGCCCACACCTGGAACCCTACCCCCATATACATGACGGACCGCGGCCTGCCCACACCGCCGTCGCCTGTGTTCTTCGCTTCAACTTCCTCGGCGAGCAGAAGAGAGGCTCCGAGGTCCCGCTCGATCCAGCATCTGCCGTCACCGGAGTCGCTGACCGAGAGGATGTTTCTCATGAGGTGACTGGCCGGTTTCAGATCCCTCTGTCCTTGAAACCCTTTGGATTCAGTCTGCCGGCGGCGGCGCGTCGTGTGCTGAGTTGATGACGCGTTTGCATTTTGTGTTTGGGGGTCTTTGCAGGACGGAGTACGACCGCGGGGTGAACACCTTCTCGCCGGAGGGGCGGCTGTTCCAGGTCGAGTATGCCATCGAGGCCATCAAGGTGAGATCCCCTCTCTCGTTGCTGCCTCCCTTCGTAGCGTTCTATCGGAAGGGCGACGTGCTGTATCGGATCGAATTTGAACACAGTGGCGACGCCGAGATGCTGGGTGCCTATGCGGGCTGGTGGGGACTTTTGTGACGACGAGTCTAGATTTGTGGGGTTAGCTGTTTTTGCGTGAGTGCAAATCTAAAAGGGCACAATTGGGGGGTTTTAGGATTTACAGATTTGCTGGGATTTCTGAGTTGAGGGTGTTATAGGATGAAGTCAGGAGTATGGCTCACTCGATCTTACTAGTTGAGGTTTGGGATTGTCGAAGGTTTGTGGTTCTGTGTCTAGTCAGTTTATTACTGTGTCAGTTTCAGCTTGACATGTGATGGCATGCTCTATTTTCCTCAATAGCACCGGATTGTCATTGCATTACTAACCAGAAAAAGTAGCTCAAGGACAAGCACTTGCACTCAAGTACACACGCTGTACTGAATTTTGTGCAATTTGCCAGGCCTTTACTTGTGAGATTTATGTGGGTTTTGTGTGACAAAGTGATGCCCATGTTGTTGTTCCCTTTGCTCTTGCAGTTGGGATCCACTACGATTGGGTTGAAGACAAAGGATGGTATTGTCCTTGCTGTTGAGAAACGTGTGACCTCTCCACTGCTGGTACTTACTGAGTTACTTTTTCATTCCCCCTAGCTGGTACTAGGGCTTGATTGTATGGTGGCAAAGATTGGGATGTTAAATTTCGAACAATGGAACATTGCTTGCTGACCAAACGTTTATGATTGAATTATTGTGATTTCTTATACAAGGTTTATGGTCTTTAGGTTAGCTCCTCTTTCACAAAGTTGTGCGGCCCCTCATTCTACTGCATTTTTTTGGCAATATTTTAACCTACAGCTGATGCAATCGTAGAGTTTGAGCTCAACTTTATGCAATTTTGTGCTATGATAACAGGAATGGTTTTTATCAGAGGAAATGGCAGCTCCACTTAGCCTCTGATTTTCATGCTATAGATTGTTTCATGTTTAAATTGTTAATGAATTCAGTTTTCCTTTGCCTTTTGATGTTATAGGAACCAAGCAGTGTGGAGAAAATCATGGAAATTGATGAGCACATAGGCTGTGCCGTGAGTGGACTTATTGCTGATGCTAGAACGCTAGTGGAGCATGCTCGTGTTGAGACTCAGGTACTTTTCTGGGTTATATACATATACATATTTATTTACATGTTTGGGAGCTTTCTCTGTTAATCTGACTTGACATGTTTATAATCAGAATCATAGGTTCTCATATGGGGAGCCAATGACCGTAGAATCTTCTACACAAGCTATCTGTGACTTGGCTCTACGCTTTGGCGAAGGTGATGAAGAGTCAATGGTTAGCCTCATTTATGTTCCTATAGCCTCCAGAACGCAAGAAGCAAGATTAATTATCTGCAGACTATATTTCATTCCTTCAACTTCAAAATATAAGATGGATTTACACCAATATCTTTGTTTTCAGATGTCTTCTGACCGGAGAAAATTGAATCCAGTACAACATTTAGGTGTTCTTATAACTGGTCAACCCTATTACTCCCATAATGAATATGAACAGATATAACAAACACTAATGACCTTTTATGAAATGATGAGTATTTGTTATATACCTATCTTGCCTGCATCGGCTCTTTCATGTGTAAATATTATCTTATCAGGGCCTAATGGTGAAGATGGACCTATGAATTGTTTTTGTTGAGGTTCATTAGAGTTACAAACCGAAAACTTTCCCCATTTGCCAACCATTTTGATAGGGCCAACCCACTACTAGTTTTCAGTTTTCACAGCATTTATACAGCCACAGTTTCCTGCAACACACATCTACTTTTATATTTCCATCCCAATAGCTCGTCGAGGGGTGTGCTAAGTTGTAATCACTTCATGTATCGTGTAGTGGGCGTTCTGATGTACTTATTTGTTTGTGTAGTCACGGCCATTTGGAGTCTCCCTCCTAATTGCTGGACATGATGAGAATGGACCTAGCTTGTAAGTGCTGATCCATTTAGCTCACTGAACTGGATTTTCTTTAATTGCAGTCTTCAGAATCCATGTTTTTCTTAAACTGGGGAGATTGACTTCTTTTTCTTATGCTAAATTATTGTGCTATAACGCATTGAAATTGCTTTTTTGTTGCCTTTTTTTAGACTTTAGGCTGTCATGGTAATGTGGGTTGCTTTACTTCTGTTTTCTTCTGTAAAATCATTTTACTATCATCATATCATGCATCACATTTGCTTTTTGTTGGATCTTTTTAGATCGTCATGGTAAACGCCTTTTTTAGTGGATGTCTTTTTGCTGCAGAGTGTGGGCTTACCATTTGTTTGACTCACATGAACTATGGTTGTCTACTAGGTGGTTTTGTTCTACTTAGGTCATTATGTGTCCTTGACAGAAATTAAAGTAAAATTCCTGTAAAATAAGGAAAAACAGGAAGGCATGGAACTTGTGACCAAGATTGTTCCAATGGTTATCTACATCATGCATTGAACTAAGTTATTCGGTATACATGTTGGCTAAGGCATATATTTTAGTTAGTGGAATATAGTGGAGACCAGGCACTTATAGCAGGCCCCTCTGTATATGTTGCTCATTTTGCAATCATGGCATCCTTATCTCTCTATGTTGTGAGGCAGATCTTTTTGTCATAATCAATTTACACAAGGCCACTGGACTTTATTTCTCATGGTTCACCATATGTGTGCTGCAGATACTACACGGACCCATCTGGAACCTTCTGGCAATGCAATGCAAAGGCAATTGGATCAGGTTCAGAAGGAGCTGATAGCTCCTTGCAGGAGCAGTACAACAAGGTATGGTTCAAGATAAATGCTAAGCCTTGAAGGAGCTGATAGCTCATTTTGCAGGAGCTGATACCTTTCCATTCTGTCTGACATTCCCAGTGTATTTGGAACAACAAGGCCTTTAACATTCTTTTTGGTTGTGATCTGGATACCTCTTTTTAGTTAGAAAATTGTAGAAAATCCGTACTAGTTGAACTTGCGGACCGTGTTCATCTCGACTAGCATATTCTCTACCGAGCGGTAATGGACGTCAAGGAGGAGCTTTGATTCTACGAGGGAGAGCGGCAACGGTCGTGGAAGACCGTGTTCCCTTCCTCGTAGAATCGGAGCTCTTCCTTGGCCAAGTACGGTGCCGTCCGGTGAAGAAATGCTCGCCGAGATGATCACGTAAGCAAGGTCAACTAGTACGGATGGGAGGATATATTTATGGACAAAATTGCATGTTTGTTGTGAATGATTGGCATGCCAGTCTAGTGCCAGTGTATGTTGTGGATCTACTCATCTGAATCCTACATGCCTACACCTTTATTTTGCAGTGCATGCCACATTACTTTAACATTCTTTGATTCTTTTTTCATGTATGTTCAACTTCATCTGCGTATACATTATTGTTGGCAGTTCTAAGGAGCTTATCAGTTCTTTAACACTTAGTCAACTTATTCTGGTGATTCTAGTTCTTAGTAGTTAGTCCATCAGCTGCATACTCTGAACCATCATTTTATTCCAAACCAGAAACGCATGTTGTCGCATTGAAGAATTGTAAATTTAATTTTTTTTGGTAGAAAAATGATTTGTAGGGGCGGTTGGTACTGTAGCCGCCCCTACAAATCGATTTGTAAGGGCGGCTGGTGTTCCCAGACCGCCCCTATAAATCGATTTGTAGAGGCGGCTACAGTATCAACCGCCCCTACAAATAGATTTGTAGGGGCGGCTGAAAACAATAGCCGCCCCTAGAAATCGATTTGTAGGGGCGGCCTGGGAACCGCCCCTACAAATACATGATTTGTAGAGACCCTTGCATAGGGGCGGCTGGGCAAACCGCCCCTACAGAGCCTCTGGAGCCGCCCCTAAAAATCCTTTTTGTAGTAGTGTAACAGACCGGCCTCCTAGCCACTATTGGGCCTGCGCCTGGCATCGGGGATGCCGGTCATAACACCATCATATTTCTTGAAGTTGGTGTGTTTGTTTTCATAACTTATTATGCCATTAGATTTGATCCAGATGTAGTCAGGTGGGTTTTATTAATCATGTCCTATGTTTACCCTATGTATTTAATCACTTGCATATGCTATTCTCTCTTTTTTATGACAGACTGACAGAGTTTCGTTATCCTTAGGCTTTTCAAGCAGTATCTGCTTTTCTTAGCAGCTAATCAGATGGCAGCTTCCCTCTTCCCGTTCATTGCAGGAGCAGCAAGAAACATGATTGTTGCATGTCTTTGGATCATTTGCAGTTTTAGTTGTTATGCTTTTAGGTGGATTTGTTCTTTCTAGAGGTAAAAATCCGTCATCCTGTTCCATGATTTTGAACTCATTTTGCAGCTTTTGCTGCTAAGTTGCCCCTTCCTTTCATGACTTCCAGAAGACATGAACAAATGGTGGATTTGGGGATACTGGGCCTCTCCGATGATGTATGCGCAAAATGCTGTCTCAGTGAACGAGTTCTTGGGACAAAGTTGGCAGAAGGTCCTTCCAGGCTCGACTGAACCCCTTGGTGTGCTTATCCTCAAGTCCCATGGAATATTTCCAGAAACCAAGTGGTACTGGATTGGCTTTGGTGCATTGCTTGGATTCACGTTTCTCTTCACGCTCTGCCTTGCATACCTCAAGTGTGAGTGCACACCTTCATTTACTAACTAGTACCTTTCTGGCAGGGCTGTTAAGTGATCAAAACTTGGTACATTACCATGATCTATACTATTTGCAGTTACAGTATGAACTGAAACAAGGAACTGCAATGCCTTACAGAATGCCTTGAATCCACCAAATAACTTGACAACTTTGCTAAGAGGTATGTATGTCCTGTTTGGTTTTACAGCATATGGGCACTCGTATCCGTCAGTGTCAGAAGAGACTAAAGGAGAAACATGCAAATTTGACTGGTATGACTGTAGATGTGTCATTACATGAAGAGAAGGAATTTGGATGTAATTGCCGGTCATATGAAAGTGATTGTCAGAACATAGGCAGCTACAATGAAACTAGTTTGGCTAGTACTGATACCAATTATATGTCTGCACAAAGGGGGATGATTCTCCCCTTTGTTCCACTCTCACTAACTTTTGATGGTATCACATACTCTGTTGATGTCCCACAGGTGAGTTTTATATAGGACTGAGCAAATAATTGTAAGTTTTTAACTATCAAGTTTCTCTTTTTTCCTGAACTATAAGTGTATAAGAAAAATTGTCAATGGAAAACTTCAGAAAACGAAAACACAAGTTCTAGAAGATAAATTGGAGATCCTAAAGGGCGTTAGTGGGGAATTTTTTTTAATTTTAACACTTTTTGAAAACTAATTTTAAATCTAACACTGTCTGTTTTTTTTTTAACAAACACTTTTGGCCGCGCCTATTGCCCTGGCGCGGCCAAATGTCTGTGCCACGCCATGCATGGTGACGCAGCAGAGGGCTGACGTGGCGGCGACCGGAATCGCTGACCGATGACGTGGTAGGGCCTGCCGCGCCATCGACCTTGGCGCGGAAGTGCCGCGCCCTGATCCGTGGCGCGGCAGAGCCGAATGAAACCCCGCGGCCAGTCCCGCTTGCCCGAGCAGCAAGCCCGCCTGGCCGCCGCGCCCGCCGCCGCCCGGCGGTACCTGGACGGTTTAATCGGAACGTGTCGCGCTAATAGTGGGAGTTATTCTAAGTATTGCTTGACGTAAAATCAATAGTGGATTTGTTTATGTCTTTTGTTGATTTTTTTTCACTGCCGAATAGAGAATTTGATAAGCCAATGATTTTTTTCGTCTTTCATAATACGGTTAACCACCATGTTAACTAATCGATTACAAAAAATTGGATCGGATTTAAACGAATATTTTTTAAGGGAACTTATTTATTTGGCTTTTTGGTCCCTTATTGTAGAATCGGCGGCGACGCGACCATGGACCCTGGCTTTCTCAACCCCTCGCGCAAGACGCTGGCCACCGGCGTCGAGATACCCCGGGACTGCCGGTTTCCGAACTAGTTGCTACTTAATCTCGCATGCAGTGATATCGCGACGCATTGAAACGAATATGAAGCAAATAAATGAAGTCCATGCGCAAGTTGACGCCACATAACATTTTCATTGGTTTGACATAAGTTCAACATAACATAACCAACTAAGCCTGCAAGTTTCGGACGCCAATAATAGTTCGACCTAACAAACAAAGGCCCAGGAGTGTAAGGATCACTCGGACTCTTCAGATTTGTTGGCAACATATTGGGAGTGTAGCCAACGTCGGTGTGGTCGCGTCACCGGTGCGTACGGCTCGTACCCTGCAAGTATATGATATACACGATTACTTAGAATTCTTTATGATCGTTAGTTCATGTAGCCTATATATTTAAAGAAACTACCTTTGTTAGTACCTGTGAGGCCCCTTGGGTACCAAGCGGGGCACCACCTAGTTGAGACATGCCGATCTCGTCCTGCGGCCAATCGTCCCACTGGTCGTGCTGTCTGAGGAAGCCCAGGGGGTCATCGTCGTCGTCATCATCGTCCTCGTCGTCCTCGGTTGCAGGGTCCTTCCCAGCGCTATGATGTGGTGGTGTACGCACCACGGAAGTGGCACCTGTCACCAGCTGAGAAGAGCCGGCTGGTGTCCTCAAAGAGGCTGAAGACGTGCCACCCGACCGCGCGGGAGTGGCGGTTCCTCATAAGGAGTGTCCATGTAGCTCAGCTTTTGAGCTAGCTTCATACAGCTCTTCTTCACCTTCTGCATAAATAGACGTTAAAGTTAGTGCATTTTCCAAACGCATATACAAAAGAAATATTTTCGGAACGAACTAGTTTATGTTTACCTCCACAAAAGCCTCGAGAACACCTAGCCCCTGCCCTTAGACTCGTGAAGCCGGAACGCTGCTTCGTTGGATAGCCTCGACAATTCGTGTCGCCTGGGTACAGAAACGCGGTTGAACAGTTTTAGTATACATACTTAATACCAAATGGATAACAAATTGTACTATTCAAGTATCTTACCACGTATCTTTGTAGCGGGTTTCTCTGTAGCTGTGTGTCCTCTCTAGTGGCAACATCGTACACATCTTCGATCACATCTTCCTCTGAGTCCTCGTCAATCGCCTCCTCAGTATATGAGGGCTTGATATGTGTCCTCGTAGACCTGTGAAGCCAGCGCATATACTCATCGAAGGTGTGCTGGTCGTGTGGAGGACCCGCATGGACCGGCTGTCGTTCCCTGGTCTCCCACAAGTGGATGTGCGCGTTGTGTGTCATGCACCAATCCTTGGTCTTGTACCTCTTCCTGCGGTCGTACCTGCAACAAAACAATGTTAGTTGTACCACACACACCTCTGAATTGTAGCTTTGTTATTAATCGATAACGCACCCGTGCAATCCTTGGTTGGTGGAGTAAAGCGGTGGTGGGCAGCCTGTCATTCTTCCAAACTGTCTACAGACCCTGACGGGCAAGTGAATCTCGACCACGTGGAAGAAAATAAGAGGGACATTGCAGCGATACTCCTCTGACTCGTCCCTAGTGACAGGACTGATATAGTACTAGAGCTCCGGAGCATCCCAATGACACCAATGCACCTGAACATTTCGTAATTGAGTTAGGCTGTGATATAGTGTAGATCGAACAAGACATAGGTATGATAGTAAAGAGAGTGTAACCTGGTGCTGTGTCAGGACGTCGAGACCGTCCGTGTACTCCCTGTACTTGCGCCTCGTATTCCCTCTAACTAACTCTGATTCCGTCCAAATAAACAGAGTTATAGGGAGTGTATCATGCCCGTTCCATTGCTGCATTGAACACGATAATGAATTAACCATTAATAAACTCATCATATGTAACCATATCGAAGAATATAATGAACCGAAGTACTTACCGGTAAACCAGTATTAAGGGGCCTCCCAACGGGCCATCGTTCCCAACACCAAACATGGAGTAGGTACGAGCAACCCCCAAGGTTCGCATACCCTAAGGTGCGACGACAGGCAATGCATAGCTATCGATACGTCCATACCAGGACTGCGCTGCCCTAGCTGTACGCCGCTATGTTCTCCCACGGCTGGCGTAGTATGTCAAGGAAGATCCAGCTGATGGTGTTGCCCGAGGCATTTGGGAAGAGGAAAGCACCAAGAAAGTGCCAGAGCCACACTCGAGCGAACCTGTCGATCTGAGCCTCCTCAGCCTGTGGGTCCAAGTAATCAAAGCGCTCCGTGATCCAGGACGACGAAACACCGGAAGTTTTCCTGAAATTTACCTAAGAAAATGAGACCCGATGGCTGCAGGAAAGCAATGCAAGTATTAAATAGGATTGAATTTCTCACTAATTTTTCTTGAAAGCCTCGTCGTTCGGTGGAAGAAAGCCAGTAAACTGAGCCATCAGCTCCTTCCAGTGATCATTGTCAACTATTCCTGTTACTGGAAGTCCCCCCAACCGAAGGCCAAAAATAGCCTTCACGTCCTGCATGGTCAAGGTCATCTCGCCACAAGGTAGGTGGAACGTGTGGGTCTCAGACCTTCGCCTGTTATAAGAATAGAACGACTATTAGTTGCCTCAAATTTGTTACAAAAAAGTTTACGTACAAAGAATGCACTCGCACCTGTCTACAGCTGCAGTAAGTAGTGCTGGGTCAAGGGGCGGAAGACCGTGGTTGACAACACGGACAAGCTCGAGGAAGCCGGCACGCCGTATGTACGGCGCATAACGCTCGTCCCACTGGTGCGCCCTAGTGTACGTGCGGGGCCTCAAAGTAAGCAAGGCCACCTCAGCGTCGTGGTCACTCAAGATGTGTGCTCGGTGCTGGTCGTCGTACTCCACCTCAAGAATGGGGTACAACGGGCGCTGCGTGGAAGGGGTCATCCTGTTACAAATTGATAAACAAAGCGTTAGAGTATTCAAATTAACAAAATTTAAATTAACATTATGTAGCATTGTAAAATTTGAACTACTTGTTATACAATACAAATACAATATGAAAGCACATGTATATATTCAAACATTAGCAGATATATCACGCACTAGTAACATAAACAACTTCACTAGGAATATAAGCATTTGACGAAACTTCATGAAGTCATCAAAATCGACGTATAACGCACTAGTAAGTACCGACATTTGTAAACTAGTATCTATACCCAAAATCCCTAACTAAATAACTAACTATAAACTAAATAATAAATACCTAATCAATCTCTAAACCCAAAATCCTAACTATACTAGAACACACAACCTCAAACCTAAAAAATACATACGTAAATCACAAACAAATTCACTAACCTAACTATCCTAAATTTGACAAACTATCATAAATCAATAACCATCATAAAACACTAACTATCCTAAATTACTAACTATCCTAAATCACTAATTATCCTAAACCACTAATTATCCTAAAACAATAATAATCAAAATAATATGAAATCGAGAGGGAGGTACCTTAGGAGCGGGCGGCCTTGACGCGCCGACGTTCGTGGCGCGGCCGGCGCAGGCGCAGCGTGGGCGGGCGCGGGCGCTGGCGGCGGGGCGCGTGCGGCCGGGCGCGTGCGGCGGGCAGGGGCGCCATGCTCCGTGGCGCGGCACTGCCGCGCCAAGATCGGTGGCGCAGCAGAGCCCTGCCACATCAACGATTGCGATTCCGGTCGCCGCCACGTCAGCCCTCTGCCGCGCCACCATGCATGGCGCGGTACAGGCATTTAGCCGCGCCAGGGCAATAGGCGCCGCCAAAAGTGTTAGTTTTAAAAAAACAGACAGTGTTAACCCTGGCGCGGCCAAAAGTGTTAGTTTTAAAAAAACAGACAGTGCTAGATTTAAAATTAGTTTTCAAAAGGTGTTAAAATTTAAAAAAAAAATCTTAGTGGGTCTTTCAGGCCAGGAGTACTGACTGCCCTGATGGGCATCAGTGGCGCTGGCATGACAACTCTGATGGATGTTCTGGCAGGAAGAAAGACAAATGGATACATCAAGGGGAGTATCAGCATTTCTGGATATCCAAAGAAACAAGAAACATTTGCACGTGTATCAGGATACTGTGAACAAGATGATATCCACTCCCCACATGTTACAGTGCATGAGTCACTGCTGTTTTCGGCATGGCTTCGACTGCCAGGAGACGTGAGTTCGAAGACAAGAAAGGTCAGCTGAATCTGATAAGCACTCACTTTTAGTTTATTATTTTCTGAACATCCATGATTTGGGGATGCAGATGTTTATTGAGGAGGTGATGGAGCTTGTGGAGCTCACACCAGTAAGAGATGTTCTTGTTGGATTACCTAGAGTTAATGGCCTGTTGATCGAGCAGAGGAAGAGGTTGACGATTGCTGTAGAGCTTGTTGCAAACCCTTCAATCATTTTCATGGACGAACCAACATCAGGACTCGATGCTCGTGCAGCAGCAATTGTGATGAGGACAGTGAGGAACACTGTTGATACCGGTCGAACAGTCGTCTGCACAATTCATCAACCAAGCATTGACATATTTGAAGCCTTTGATGAGGTAAATGAGCTATTGCCTTAAAGCATTAGGAGATTTTATTTTTCAATGGCCCTCATTCCCTCTATAAGTCTATATTCTTCTTAGTTACTACTCATGGGAACAGGTGAGCCTTGGTCAAATGACATGTTCTATATTTTAGGAATTGAGTTTTAGGTGTTTTTTCTTTAATTGTAAAGATGCCTAGTTCCTGTGACGTATTATAATTAATTTTATGTTTGAATGAATAATAGTCCCTAGCAATACCAACCAAGCAAACCATACAAATTTACAGGAGGAAATGGTGAGGGACTGATGGGGAACATTGAATATAGCGGTTACTACAACAGCATGTCAACTAGTTGGGTGGGAGGTGTGGTCATGCACCCAACCACCCAGGTTCCTCTCTGTGCTTGAATTTGGGTGTCTATTCTCTTCTTAATGAAAAACCGCCTAGTTTCTCCTGTGTTGTATCTCTTTTTTCTGCTTGAAGAGATCAAATTATGGCAATTAGCAATAGCATTTGTGACTTTTGATTGTCTGAATAATGATGCAAAGAATCCTGAATTCATCATTCCATTCACGCAGCTTTTACTGTTGAAGCAAGGTGGAGAACAGATCTATTTTGGTCCACTAGGCCGTCATTCCTCAGAAATGATCAAGTATTTTGAGGTAAATACGACTTAAAAGAATTCAAATGTTTCTACACTGCAATTTCGAAATCAAATAATCTTTCATTTTGTTCAGGAAATTGAAGGAATCAGCAAAATCGAAGATGGCTATAACCCAGCGACCTGGATGCTGGAAGTGACAACAGTTCCACAAGAATTTGTGCTAGGAGTTTATTTTAGTGACATGTACAAGAATTCTGAACTCTGCCAGTCAGTAACCTACTGCCCTACTAGTATATGTGTATAAATGCTACTTGTAGAGTTGTAGTTTTTGGTTTTTGATATGTGAACTGTTTGTATTTTGTTTTTCTAGTTGGTTGCTATTATGACTGGCAACTAAAGGAATTTCTTGTTGTAAGTTGTAGCAGCACCAGTAATGTCTAATTCTTTATTTTATACAGGAGGAACAAGGTCTTGATACATGAACTGAGTACTCCACCAGCAGGTTCGAGCGATCTCCACTTCTCCACCACGCACTCACGGTCTTTCTTCACACAATGTCTGGCTTGCCTCTGGAAGCAGAACCTGTCCTACTGGAGGAACCCGCAGTACAATGCTGTCCGGTTTTTCTTCACCACCGTTATAGCTCTACTCTTCGGCACCATCTTCTGGGGTATTGGCACCAAAAGGTTGAGCCCTATACATTGTAGAGCATCAGTACATAGCAAAAATGATGTGATCTTGGTGTCACCTATGAAAGTGGCCACTTATTACCCTTTGCCTCTTAATCCAGGGAGAAACCACAAGATCTGTTCAACGCCATGGGGTCGATGTATGCTGCTGTTCTAACCATGGGTGTGCTGAACGCGGCAACAGTTCAGCCAGTGGTGTCTGTCGAGCGAATGGCCTTCTACCGGGAAAGAGCTGCCGGCATGTACTCAGCTTTCCCGTATGCATTTGGGCAGGTAAAAATTCTACAGACTTTATTGCCTTTGATGGGTTGAGAGAACATGTAGTGCCTGAAAGGGGAATCTCGTGTCACACCAACCAGTGTCTCTCCTGCAGGTTTTAATTGAGCTCCCCTACACATTGGTTCAGACATGCATATATAGTGTCATAGTGTATGCCATGATGGGGTTCAAGTGGACAGTAGCTAAATTCTTCTGGAACCTCTTCTTCATGTACTTCACACTGTTGTATTTCACATTCTGTGGTATGATGGCGATCGGGTTGACACAGAACCCCAACGTAGCATCCATTGTATCCGCAGCGTTCCATGCCACATGGAACCTCTTCTCTGGTTTTCTGATCCCTCAAACTGTAAGTTAGCCGTACATTCGTATTTCATTTTTTAATGAATTGACTACTAAATATTGTACCTCGCCTGTGCTGTTTCAATACTACATTCAGAAAATTCCTATCTGGTGGAGATGGTATTATTGGCTCTGCCCTGTCGCATGGAGCTTGTACGGGATGGTAGTGTCACAGTATGGTGATGACGTGGCGAATTTTGTCAGGGACTACCTCGGCTTTGACCACAGCTTCCTCGGGGTGGTCGCCGCGGGGGTTGTGGCATTTGGGCTCCTCTTTGCGCTGTTGTTCGGCGTTGCAATAATGAAGCTGAATTTCCAAAGGAAATGATGAATGGTACATAGGTACCGATGATTTGAAATTTGAAATTTGATTGGGTTGTTAGTAGATTCTGGTCTTCTTTTTTCAAATTACTTGGTCCCAGATACAAATGCTTCAATTTGAACGCTAGAAGACCTTTTTTTTATGTTAGAAGACATTGGTTTTACATGAACATATATCTTGCATTGGTTCCAGGGAAATAATATAAGATTTGAGTTGTACCAGTTGGTTGTTCAACCTGGTTTTATTTTCTCGATCTGGTTGCTTCCCACCCTTTTCGAATATTCAGAGGGGTTACTGGAATCGATAGACAACAGGTTGTGGCAGCCATACTGCGAAACCAGTACTGTAAAAGACTCCAGTTCTCCACCTCTCCAAAAACATTGCTAACTGTAACGGCAGCTTTGATACTCGATTTACACTTGCACATGACTACGGCCCCATTCGCGTGCCCTTAAACCCGTCTTGATCCGCTTCTTTTTTCATCTAAAATGGTGTTTTTGTCTCACAAATTCCTCCAACATTCCTCCAAACCATCCAAATTCTTCCAGAATTCCTCCAAGCGAACAGACCCTACATCAGTAACAAGGGCACAAGGCCCTTATTCAACAGACTGGTGGTGAAAGGAAAATGGAATAGCGACGTAATGCTGCCCAGTTATTATGAACCATCAGTACAGCTCTAATTGTAACACCCCAAATGTTAAATTCGCCACACAGCAGAAGCACGAATCATGACCTGGCTGCACGATGTGAAGGTTAAGATTTGCAGTATCAGCATCAAAACTGTGGATCTATTTATTATTAGTAACAAAGGCTATAAATATTTGATCAAAAGAGTAACAACAAAATGTTACAAATGCCTTATGCTATTCGCAGCCCAGTAATTTATCTGTGATTCTACTGTCATCCTATCTTCAATGCCCTCAACGACCTAGTTACAACAACTGTATGCAAGAATCACCTGCTTTACTGTACATGTGAAGCTACATGACCTCAAATAATAAATCCTTAACGCTTCTCTGGAAAAAATGCAATAACCAAGCTTTTGGTTGTGGCTCATAGGAAATAATAGTCTCCCTGATCCAGATCCAATGCTTCAATGATCTTTAAACAGTTTTGCTGGGAAACGGCAGTCAACATGCCGTCTCCTAGGGCCATGTGACTACTGTCTTCAGGAGCAAGGTTAATCACCACATCCATTTCCGAGTAGAAGGTTTCAGCACATCTTTTCCATGGTGCAGTAACACAGAAGCATTTAATGTCTCACCTTGGAAGGCTTGTCCATCCCAATGCTGATCATGTGGTTGGTCTGGTCATTGTTGAAACCCCCCGGCCTCCCATGGGAGCCATGCCATGAAGATCCATATCAGGCTCCTCATCTGCAGTTCCAACAAAAAGTGGATAAAATTAACTTCGATAAAAGTAATAACATAATACCGACTAAAAAACAAGCATAAAAACCCCACTCCAGGTTGGTCCTCAATTGGTAGGCCTACATGCTTCTACAATTTGATGGGAAAAGGTCCTACCCCTCATGTTAGCAACTAATGATATAAAATTGCATGCATAGAATGGAGTGCTGTACTGGTTTTGCTCAAGTGATATACACATGGGACATGAATCCCTACAACACACACCCACAAATAACACCGTTCTCGTGTGATAAATATATATAGTTTGATATATAACAGTAGCCATTTATTTGAAGTTTAATCCCAGTCCGGGAAACAATATTTAAAGATTAACTTAGCATGAGTAGCTTATTACCATTTGTATCTTCACCGGATTCAGCGCCAGCAATCCCAATGCATGCAAACAAAGAAGAATCGTCAACTTTCAGATGCTCATATGCAAGATACAGATCCTCAATCGTGGCACTTTCATATAACGTCGTCAATTCCTTGATGCATGATACATCCTGCATTTGATTGGAGCACAGGAATGATAAGAAAAATTGAGGTATTAAAGTTAATAAGGATTAATATGCAGAAGATCTCCATCCACTATAATATAAAGTTTCTTTAAACAATCTGAATGGGAAGCTGACAGGTGCCTAAAATTCCAACAGAAAAGGTTACCAACTACCTAACATCATCCACATGATAGGCTTGCAACTGCGCCAGGTCAGTTGGCCTACAATATTGTTTCTGTTTTCCTTCTGCTAGTTGCAGGGAAAACATTAGCATGAATCTAAATATATGCAGTCCAAGGGGATCCCAAACAGGCCCTAGTATTTTTATTCACATGCATCCAAATTAAGCAGTCTGTAATTTTGTTTTTGGGCCAGTAGATTGCTTTAGATTCATTTTCTTTCTCAGTAAGAGTTGTTATTACTTTCCCAGTTTAAAAAAACTTCTATTTGTGTATTACCTGTGGCTGTAAACTCCTTTATATCTCAAACATGAACTCTCCTGCACATTCTTGATAAATAATTTTGTGATTTCTTTTATAGAGAGATTATATTTTGTCATAGCATGCCCCAGAGATGGTATCAGGTCCGCAGGATTCCAAAGTTACATGAAGATTGAAGAAACTATTCAAAATTACCAGCATTTTAGCAAGATTAGCTAGAACATGAGTTCACAGATCACAAAACTTTCTTTCTATCATGAGTTCATCACATGGTTAAAAAAAATGCCAGCACAAGAAAAGTTTCGTCCTTAGTTCTTGAGAATATGAGATGATAAACAATAAATGAATTTCACCTTTCTTGGTACAGACGAAGACTGTAGATGGGCTAGCAAACCAAGCCAGTAGGCATTTGTCTTCGTCTCAGCCTCATGTTTCATCAACAGCGTCCTCTTTGCCTGAAAATTATGAGTTTCAGATGGTAGATGCATTCTAAGTTCAATACACAGCTAAAATGTTGTATCTTAATCTATGAGATGCATGACTTAATTTTTAAGATGTGTATTCAAATTTCAACCAAAAAGGTATTAAAGCACTTACACAAAAAAATAATGTGCCCAAATGTAATATTATTATACTGACAACATAGATCCATAAGCACACCAATCCTACATGTACTGGTTCTGTGATATGAATTACAGAATGAAAAGGACAAGCAAAGTTCGACTAACCCGGTCGAGCTCCCTTTCCACAATTCGGCTACTATGTAATCCTCTCAGAACACCTTTGCAAGCATCAACAGCTTTATGGACCTGGAAATAATGATGGTTAGATGTATTGCTCGAAAAAAAAAGAAAGTCAGATGTAGAAAGCACACTGAATACTTGAATTCAGTAGGACCAAAATACCTTGCTTGGAGTTGAAGTGACCGCGATCACATACCAACCAAGATCCAATTTGTCAAAAAGGTTTAATTCAAAAGAAACATCATATGTTAATCCCATTGAATCTCGTACTGTAGTAAATAACCTGGCAATAAAACAGTGCAGCACATTATGTTAGGCCTGCCAGCTAAATACCCAACAAAACTATCCATCACCGCGCACACTATCTATAATGTGATCTTCTAGTCAAGAATGGTGTGGCTGGCATATTAACTGGTATGTGAGCATTCAATTTATATGAGCAAATTCAGGTTTCGTAAGTACCAAACCACAGCTTGATATACTAATATGCTCATCTATCCAAGGTACATAGATGATACATAAATTATGGCCTTTGTCATGTTTGAAGAAGCTTTGTATTAATCTGCAGAAGAATCATATAGGAATGTTTTTACCTAGAATTGATAATTTCAGCAAGCAGACTCAAAGTGATGCCAAAGAAAAGAGGGTGGCTGCGAACATCGATGCGTCTCTTCCCTGTTAGATCCAAGTTTACTGGTTCGGATATTTCTGCTGCAATAGCACGAAAAATATCAACCAACATAGAAAGAAACATTTATGCAAGTCGCTAACATAAGTAGGAAGTTCCTCAAAGAGAAGCATAAACCAAGCCTAACTTGCAAGATATTTTGCATCAACTACGTGACAAATTACAAGCCTAGCACATATCAAATTGGATTAGAATTACCATCAGCATCAGATCTCTGAATAACATTAAATAGGTCATTTCCTTCAGTAGCGAATCCCCAACGGTTAGGAGCAGGGCCTGCAATATACGCACAGGCTCTCTCATCTGTGTCCTTTATGTATACCTGGTGAAGAAGCAGCACAATCAACAAAGATGTCTTCAAAGCACAAGCATCATAAATGGAAGACAGCAAAATGATTCAAGAGTTATGGTTCAAAGTTATAACTAGAAGAAATTCAAAATCCTTAAGCATGTATTTTTTCCCCATGACTCATCAACGCTTCAATTAATGAGTACTGTAACGATGATTTAGTGACACATTAATGCCTCAACTAACATCAGTATTGTAATGACAATGTAATGATCTCTTATATTATTGTAGCAGTGGAACTAGAAATACTTATGCTGAATTGGAAAATTGATAATGGATGCCACAGGAGACTCCATACTTCCTGGAAATGAACATCTGATGGAAACGGTCGGAAGGAAATCTTTTCAATACGCTCCTCTGTGTTTGGAGAACTTGCAGCCCTCACAGTCCCAAGATAATCAAGAACACAAGATTCTACTTCTTCCTCAGTGAAATCACCAACAATGCTGACCTGAAAAAATGGATACAAAATCAAATAAATATGGGAAATTATTAAACATATGTTGGAGCAAGTAAAGGTGCAATGAGAACACTTGAAGAGAGAAGAGAAGAAATGCAAGAAGGAAAAAAACAATTCACAAACCTCCATGTTGCCACCCACAAACTGGTTCATGACAGCATCTTTAACTGACTGAAGAGTCAACTTCTGCAACGAATGTGGTGACGGCTCTACAAACCTTTCATCATGGTTTAGCATGGCTAACATAAGCTTATGAGCTGTAGAACGTTCCAAACTTTTGGGGATAGAGCGATAGTAAGACAGATATAACTGAGTTGCTCTATCGAATGCATCTTCTAGCCACACATTATGCTGTAATACAAAAGGAGAAATGTTGTAAATGTTAGACCTCCTTTATTTCGAGAAAACTAGTTCT